AGAGCAAGTATTCAAGTAATGAGTTTAAACAATTTAATATTGGGTTAGCACGATGAGCTGAACCTTGGATGCATGAAAGACAATGGATGCAAAGCATAAGAGTGTTAATGAAACATGATGCCTTATACTAACCATCGTAAGTGAATAAGTAAAAGGGAGAAAGACGTGGGGTTGGGAGACATACAACTTATTACAATATTGCCCTCGTGCAAGAAGGTGGGAATCAAAGTCCAAAAAGTTCAAATTAAACTAATTATTACAAAACTGAATGAATAAAAAAGCGAGACTAATTCACTAGCTAACTATGCTATTACAATAGGGATAGCTACGATAAATAAACTAGCTCTCTAAGCTAAGTAACTACAACAATTACAAAGGAACAATAATAATAATTACAACACTTAATAATTAACGAGACTAATTACAATAAACAATATTAAACTAATTACAACAACAATTATAATGTAAGCAAGGATGCGCAAGAATTGAATGCATGCACATGCACAATGTTCAAGAGTAGCTCTGTCTGCCCCAGGCTTGCTCTGTTTCACCTCAGCCACTGTCCTCTGTTTTCTGCAAAAATATACTGCTGACCAAACATTGAGGATCGGCTGGCCCTTAATGAAGCCCAGCTGGGCCTAAAGAAGGTCGGCCATGCCTCAATTTTGTGCAAAACTCTGTTTTGTGTTCTGGAGTGAAAACAGTGCAGATAGAGTTGTTCAAGCTCTGTTTGTCCCATTCTTCCTTCTCTGTCATGGGAAAGCCTCGGGAGAAGGTTAGAATTGTTTTCAAAACCATCAATGAGCAAATTGATTGCTTGATGATTTTAGATACGATTTTGGAGAAAAATCAATGAATGTAATGAATATGACCACTCTTCCCTTTTTATCATGGAATGAACTCAAAAAAGGAAGTACAGATGCTTCAAGAATTATCAAAACGCCATGAATTAGCATATGACCACTCTTGACTCAATAAACTTGGCATAACGTTGGGCCAAGCCCAAGCGAGATGACTCATTTTCTTTATGTGTGTTGGTTGCTTTTCAACCAATTCTTTTAGTCATTTCCATTATTTAGTCCATTTGTCCGAAGTGATGATTAAGTCCTTTAAAAGGAGAGAAGCGTCAAACGGGAAATAATTCTCAACATGAAAGAGAGATTATGCCGTTGATAATGAATCTCCGTGGAGATTATGCCATTAAGCGTGAATTTCTAGTTCATGTGTTGAATGACCGTTAACCGATTGAAACAACTCTCAAATGAAAGAAAGGAGTGGCAAGTGGATTCTTAAAATGAGGTTATTACAATGAAAGTTAGACAAAGAAAGGCTAAGAATAGCATGATACAAGCTATGTACAAAGACCAATGCTACAACAAAGGAACTCATCAAAGTTTAAATCAATTAAATAGATGAGGACTGCCCTAAAATAGCCTCTAATAAGCCAAAACAGTGGCTGAAAATGCAAGAAAAGAACTCAAAAAGCTAAACAAAAAGTAAAGATACTAAAGCTATGTAAGTAAAAACAAGGAGAGGTGGCCAACCCCTCAAATTTCAAAACTTCAAACCATGTTTCTTGGCCTTACTTCAACTCTGAAAATTAGTTCAAAAATCAAAGGAAAAGAGTGTAAAAGAACCAAGGGTCGAGCTATGAAGATAGGTGCAAGTAAGGGTGTTAACCTTATCACCTTTGGTAGCTTATCCAAACCCAAGTTTCAACACTTAAAATGGATGCAAAATAGCCCAAGAATACAAGAAATAGGTAGAAATGAAGTAAGCAAAAGCAAGAAGAAAAGTTGCAAGCTTATACGTCTCTAAAGCTTGAATTATGCTCCTCAAGGGTTAACTAAGGCTCTAAGATAATGAGTCAAGGTTGTGTATGGTGTATATAGATGATATAAGGAAGGTAGGTTAACTTAAAGGTAGCTTGGAATGGAAGAAGGAAGAAGAAGGAGTTCTCTCTATGTGTATAGGCTTCCTCTCAATTGTTTAACCCCCAAAACAGAGATATATGGTCGTATTTATAGAATTTGAGCAAGAAAGATCATAAATATCTTCAAAATGGCCAGTTGGTGGCCTCTCACCCTGAACAATGTTTCTCGCTACTAAAACCCAACCTGCCCTCAATAGCCACAGTCGGCCCTCAATGAGGCACGGCTAGGCCTCAATGAATTTCCCTGTTTTTCTATTTCAGCCTCAACACATGGTGGCACAAGGTGTAAAAAGGGATTTCTTGGGTATGATTAGTGGGAATATGGAAGGTTTGGGGTTATTTCAAAGCTTGAACAAGACTCTTTTGTTGAGATCTCGAACCACGCACAATACCACTTTCGTCATCGAGTGTTTCGAGTAAAGCGCTCGAGCCTTGTTGGTGGTCAAAAGTGGGGTGTCTGTCTTTGATAGAGCTCGAAGTCATAAAGTGACGTGAGTGAATGTCAAAGCCCAGAGATGACCCATTTGACAAGGCCGCAAGGCTCGGGCAAGAAATCAAGACATAAATGCAAAAATTGAACTTGGGGCAAAATGCAAAAACGAAATGCGGCAAATAACTTATGATCATGCAATGAAGCAATGCAATGAAACACAACGTAAATGCAGCAATAAAACAATGCTACAATCTAGACAAGAAAGCAGCGTTTGAAAGACGATACAAAACAGAGCAAAATAAACCTCGCCGTGTTTCACACGGAATGAAGTGAATAAACAGGCACGCCTCGCGTGAAAAGCACAAATAAAGCACAAACCAATCTATGTCTCACGTAGAAAGGATGTAAGAAAATACAAACCTAACTATGCCTTGCGTAGAAAGGGAAAAGGGTGACGTAACCATCGAGTGCACCCGAGGTCTCAACCAAGATCCTAACACGTCTCACGTGATAGGAGGAAGGGCGGTGTGAACAAACAGGAGCACCTGATGTTTTTAACCAAGGTAGACAATCCTCACGCATCACATGTGAGAGGAAGAAAGGTGGTGTGAACACCGGGCACACCCAATGTTTTTAATCTAAGGTACAATTCCTAACGCGTCACATGCGAGAGAAGGAAAGGTGGTGTGAACACTGGGCGCACCCAATGTTTGTAACTGAATGTACAATCCTAACGCATCACACACGAGAGGAGGAAAGGTGGTGTGAACACCGGGCGCACCCGATGTTTTTAACAGAAGGTAAAATCCTAACGCGTCACACGTGAGAGGAGGAAATGTGGAGTGAACACCGGGCACACTCGATGTTTTTAACCAAAGGTACAATCCTAGCATGTCACACATGAGAGGAGAAAAGGTGGTGTGAACACTGGGCGCACCTGATATTTTTAAGCAATGGTACAATCCTAACGTGTCATACACGAGAGGAAGAAAGGTGGTGTGAACACCGAGCGCACCCGATATTTTTAACTGAAGGTATAATCCTAACGCATCACATGTGAGAGGAGGAAAGGTGGTGTGAACACCGGGTGCACCCGATGTTTTTTACCGAAGGTATAATCTTAACGCATCACATGCGAGAGGAGGAAAGGTGTTGATGGAAGAGCAAACAAATCGCATAAGTACAAATCAAAACAAACAAAGTGGTGGGAAAGCTAATTTACCAATGTTGAAACAATGAACACAACACACCGTGTTTCAATTTGGTTGTGAAATGGATAATGATTTTACTGTGGCACGAATGATTTCATCTGGAACTCCTTTGAATGAACCGTACATACAATATCGTCTAGTTATGATAGAACATAACAAACAATTTAGGCAAAATAACTTATAAACTAGCAGAATAGTTTAAATAAATCAAAACTACGACTTAAACTATGAGTTAAACAAGAAAATTACAAATCTAATCATGCATTCGTACAGTAAATTCAAATAAAAAAATTACTGCTTTTCTTTCCTACTCTTTTCATATTTTCCTTTTTTTCTTTTACTTTTGCCTTTCTTTTTTGCTTCCAATTCTCTTATTTTTTTTCCTTTTCTTCTTCTTTTTTGGTTTTCTTCTTCCTTCTTCTTCTTTTTTTATTGCCTTTATTTTTTTCTTTTTCTTTTTTTCCTTTTGCTGGCTTTCTTTCTTCTTCTTTTTTCTTTTGCTGTCTTTTTTTCTTATCTTTTGAACTCTTTTATTTTCAAAAGAGTAGGCACTCAACTTCTTTTTTGTTTTGAACTCTTTTATTTTCAACTCCATAAAACAAGAAATAAATAACAAAAAGGAAGAAAAAGAGGGAAAGAACAAAACCGTACTCTGTTGTCATTGAGTGCCGGCCAGGCCTCAATGAAGCACGTCCGAGCATTGAAACAACCGGACAGGCCTCGATAGCAGCAGGGGCAGTTTTGGCCTTTCCTTGCGATTTATGTGTTTAAAACAAATCCAAACCCTATTTCCTCACACTTTCTCATCCAAAATCATTCTCTCTGTCTCTAGCTTTCCTCTCTCTCTAGATTTCTTCTTTTCCTTGCGTTTCCCAACAAATCTCGCCATTTTTCTTCAAAACCCTTCATCTCCTCTACATTTTGAACCGATTAGATTTTGATTCGGTCAAGTTTTTGTGTTTCTCATTGTTTTTGCCTTATTTCCCACGAGTTTTCTTGGTTTTGGAGATTCACTCTCGTGTTTTCACTTTCCCCTCTCATTTTCTCTCTCCTAGGGTTTAGTCCCTTACATTTTTTTGCTTTCTTTTCATTCTCTATATTCTTCTCCATGGCTAGTGACGGAGTTCCCATTCCAGACCCCGCCATTGGTATCGGGGCTGCCTTAGGCGTAGATATGGAGGCCAAGGACACTCCCGCGTTGCCTCCCCTCGTTGATAGGCCATTTGACGCGACCACATACTGACCATACACACATGCTCCACCCCTGGGTGGGATTTTGAGATTTGAGGGCCTCATCCTCGGGATAGACGAGGATATCTTGGTGCGAGAGCCCACAGAGGACTTATCCGCTGATGCCTCCATAGTAAGCAACTTCTTTTTGTTTTGATGCATTGTTAAAGATCACAAGTAGACCACTAGTTAAATGCCATACATTTCCATTTTGCAAGTGATAGCCAGGAGGATTGGCGGATACGGATCCATATTCGACCCTTGGCGCTGGTATAAGAGACTGCCCATGGAGGTCCGCGTATTAGTTGACACAGCTGGCTTTGGACCCTTCTGCTCAGGGCTTATACAGATGAGAGTTGAGTCACTGTTATACAGGGCCTTGGTCGAGAGATGGTGGGACACCACAGACTTATTCCACTTCTCATTGATTGGAGAGATGACCCTAACCCCGTATGACTTTATGATGCTCACTGGCTTGCGGGTTGGAGTTGGCGGCCTAATCGCATGTGATCTTGACATAATGCAGTGGAGAGCCGCACATCCTCAGCTTCTTGGAGTGATCCCAGACGCTACCAGCCATGGGTATAGCTGGTTCTTCGAGTACTTCTCCGACTTTCAGCCCACCACTCTAGATGAGGTCGCCCAGTACACCTATAGTTTCCTTATGTATCTCCACGGTACTACCCTATTTACGAACAGGAAAAATACTGTGGGGTTGTTTCTAGGGGCACTGGTGTACCTCCCCTATGTGGCAGAGTACAATTAGGGTGGCGTTGGCCTGGCCACCTTATACTGCTACAAGAGCTTCGTTTCCTGCCATAAGGTGGATTCACTTGGCGGCTATTGGAGGGTTTGAGAGGTATGCCTCATATTTATCTTTTCTGTTCATTCTGTTCATTCTGCCTTCTCTGCTCATTTTCATTTCATTTTCTTCTCATTTACTTCATCCATCTTTTTCTGTTTGCAGTTCTGAGTGTATACTTACTTCACCTTTTTGGCTCCGGTCCTAGTAAGGCCGATCGAGTTGTCAGTACCCCGCTCACGGTACTATAACTCCCGATTTGAGCGCCATTGTCGTGTAGACTGAGACTTCCCCTACTTTTGTCGCTTCTTTGACACGATCACTGCGGATCAGGTAACAAAATACCACCCTTTAACTGTTACACACTATGAGTAGACTACACTATTTCCCACACTTCACCATCATTCTCATACTGTTGCTTCTATACCGTATTGCCATTCTCATACTGCATTGATTTCTCACACTGTACTAATTTCTGACACTGCACTGATATCTGACATTACACTACCATTCTCATACTGCACTGATTTCTTGCACTGCATTAATTTTTGTAGGTTGATTGCCATCCTTGGACCGGCATTCCCTAGGTGTCGAGGATGACCTACACTACTATATGGCATGCCTCCACCATGCAGATTCTATTCAAGGGCCCCTTTTGCTGGGCGTACTACCTGGGGGAGAGGTTCATCTGCCAGACGCAGGGTATCGCTGACCCCAACGTCCCACACCCTCCTCCTTCAGTCATGAGGGTAGTGGATGAGCTGCAGGACAGTCCTCAGATTGACCTCCTGATGTTGGGCGAGGATGGCGACCAACATCATGAGCTTGGCAACTTCACTACTTTCTTACACACTCGAGTGATGGCACCCCTTACCCCGGGCGTAGTTCGAGCTGTGCCAGAGGTTGTTGTTGCTGCTACTGCGGCTGGTGATGCACTTGCTAGAGGCGTCCCTGCCGTTGCTCCTATCCTTGGATTTCTTGTGATCTCCACTGAGATTATGTACATGCATCTGGATAGAGTGATCGAGCAGATCCCGCTTGAGCGCATTGAGGGGAGGGACCGCAGGCTAGTGTTCGCTCCTGGCGTCAAGTCGATATACATTCCTTCATGCTAGTCCATACTGCACTTTATCTTGTTTTCTTTTATTTCTGTTCAATGTTCTCTATTACTTTTGTTCTTTTCTTAAATTCTGTTCCTTTTGCAGATACCCCGAGCGTATGTTGATGACCTCCTCTAGACGATCGACCGACTGCTCCTCATGGTACGGAGGAGGCAGACTGCCTTAGTCACTCCGGGACCGAGGTACACTCTATCTGTAGTTCACTGTTGTTGCCATACTGTTTATACTCTTGTTAGTTCGTACTGATACCTGTACTCTTTTCAACTTGAGCCAGTGCCAGCAGTGCCTGCAAGACCTTTTGCAGCCAGTAGACGGAGATGGGGCCCAGTGAGGGGCCGAGGGGGAGCTAATCGAGGGAGAGGTCGAGCGAGGCAGTGCTCACCTTCTAAGGAGTCTTTTGACTGGTCTACGACCCCCAAGGATGAGGGAGAGGAGGTTGACTTGTAGTCCAGCAGCCCTAGCGACGACAGTGATGTACCTCCTCCACAGCCGAGGAGGAAGAGGGCGAGGATGGGCCATTGACGACGGCGACGATTTTTGTTTTAGTTTTTGTTGTTTTTTCTTTGTAGTTAAAGACTAGCTTCAGATAGACCCTTTTGTTTTGTTTGAAAGACTTTCTTTTGTTTTATTGCTCTGTAAAACAATGATCGGGGTTGGACCCGCTAGTTATAAAAGACAAGTTTTTGTTGAATGCTTCATTGTACAATGTGATGAATGGTGTAATCCTTGCATGATAACTTCACATAAGACTTGCTCTTGCATTCATTTGAATCAGATAACTACCCACAATCGGACAAAATGTGAAATATAACTCGATGACAAGAGAAAAAAAAATAAAAATAACTCGAAAAAACCAAAAAACACTTGGTATAAACAAAACACGACTCAAAATACAACTGTGGTATGTCAAGGCAAAGGTTGGCCTTTCCTGCAACTACACTGATTCTAAAACATCATTTAGACCCGGCCGGGCCTAAATATACACGGTTGGGCTTCACTGAGGTACGATCGGGCCTTAATGTGAGGTCGGTCAGTGCTTCCCAGCTGTCATGCACTGCTCATTCTTATCCTTTATAAATAAGGCTCCCATGCTATTTTTCTGGCGAAACAAGAAGTCTTTGATGATTTGCTCTCAAGATGGAGACACTGTGCAACAATCGGCTCCGAGGCTGGATAACCATTTTGGACGGCTCGAAAAAGGTGAATTTTCATGGCTTTGGCCTAAATGCCCTTTTTTCTTTGAGTTGTACTTCTATTTACTTTCCATTCCTTCATGCCGTTGTTCCATGTTGGAACCCGATCACACATGTGTTTCAATTCAGAAGGCAGGAGGTGTGTCTGATACTCAAGGAATTTTAAGCCTTGATGGAGTCCCGGCGTGACGAAGAAGTCATACTGTAGCCTCGTTTTCGCCATGCCCAAGCTTTGGGACGGATGTGCGGGTTATCATTACATGAGGCTCGATCTTTGGCAGATGATGGAGAGCTAAATATCCCCGGTTTAGTTCATCGATTTTCTGCTAGTGCAGATAAGAGTGATCTTCTTTGGCGAAGCCACCGGCAACATGCTCTCTATTTATGCCTTCTTGGATAATTCCTCTTTGCCCCTAGTTTCGGTGGAGCTAGCATTCGGTTGATCGAAGTAGCTCAACATTTAAAAGAGGGTAAGAGTTGCATGGGTTTGGCACTGGCCGAAACCTTGATGGGTTTAGATGCTTTCCGTCAAGGAGAGACCACCCGGTTGGCAGGGAGTTCGCTACTTGTCCAGGTATTATTTTCCACCATTCTAATTTATGATTCTTACATCACTCAACACTTCATCTCAGTTTTTCTCTTATAACCTTTTTCCTCACTTTTCTCTCATCGTACACCTCTCTATTCTTTAGTCTTTCTTATTTTTCATCCTGTAGACACCCCATTTTTGACCGTCCTCAAGACTTGGAAGTCATCGTTTGAGTACTCGATGATCATCCTTATTTGTGTTCGTTTTGAATGCCTAAAGTTCTTGGTAGAGTGCCTTGCCTTTGAGCCTTTGAAACTTGTCTGTTTTGTGCTTGGTTGTGGACCAAGAGCTTGTTGTCTCAATTCTGGGAGAGAGGGTGGCCTGTCGGCCAGCCCTACAATCCATCGGCCAGAGCTTGTTCCTGTCGTCCATTAGTGGTGGCCAGTCAGCTACATTGATGGCCGGTTGGCCACCAATGATGCCCGACAGCCATTTTTCTCCTTTTTTAGATATTTGTTTGCCAGTTGTGCCAACTGTTGCTCACCGAAGCTCATTTCCATACACGTGTGTGGAGGGATGAATACAAGCTCTAATCTTGATTTTCTATATATAGGGGGGTCTCTCTCCCATTTTGAAGGGTTAGAGAATTTTGAGCAAATTTCTTATTCTCTCTCTAGAATTCTCTCTCTCTCTCTCTCTCTCTCTCTCTCTCTTCTTATTTTGTGCTTGATAGTTAGAATTCTTTACACTTTTGCACTAAGACCCTTAACCAAACATCTTCATCTTGGAGCTGAGGTTCTTTGAGGCTTAGTTTGAGCTCCTAAGGGTGGTTTAAGCTCAGAATAGTGGCTGTTTTTGTGTTGTGCTTCAAGAGGTAAAGTCTAACCTTGTAAGCTTTATTTTAATCAATTTCTTGGCTATCTTTTTACACTATTTTGACCTGGTTTTTCAACTATAAAAAACTCTATTTTTAAGGTTTAAAAATGGTAGTTTAGGTCTTGGTGAGTTAGGGGGTTGTTTTCCCTTTTTGCTCTTTGGCTTGTGAAGCCTTTCGTGCCATTTCTTACCATCTTTAAATCAAGCTTTTTGGCCCTTTTAAACACTGAAATCCAGGGTTATTTTAGTGGTAAAAATCAACTCTTGAAGTCCAACATAGGAGGGGTTAGCCTCCCCTCCTTGTGTCTTGCTTCCATGCCTAGGTTGCTTCACATATTAGCTTGATTTTGTAGCTTGTGTTAGCTTAGTTCAAGCATGTTTTAGGCTCTGTTTTTACATGTTTCAACTCTGTTTTGGGTTGGTTGGAGCATTTGCAGCTTGCTTTTCGCACTTGTAGTGCAATTGTGTTTACTAGTCTAGCATGCCTAATGGTTTAGCCTATTATTCTAGCTTGTGTTAGCTTAACTTCAGCATGTTTTAGGCTCTATTTTGACCTGCTTTAACTTTATTTTGGGCTGGTTAAGTCCTTCGAGGCTTGTATTGCATGGCTATTAATGGTTTTCACTAGCTCATTGTTTTAAGGCTTTAAACATAATTTGCACGAGTTGGTTGCATGTTGTAGCATCATTTTACATGTAATTTTAGTGTATATAGCTCTGTCACATGCTCATTTATTTCACTCTTCCATTGGTTTTGAGAGTTGTGTTTAGAATCTTGTTTGCAAGCTAACATGAGAGCATGTTTTTTTAGCTTTTTGTGCCTAAATCTCAGCATATTTTAACCACTATTTTAGCATGTTTTAGCTCTATTTTGAGCTGGTTTGGTCCTTTGAGGCTTGTATTGTATGGTTGTGGTGCAATCTCCTTCACTAGTGTAGACACCCCATTTTTGACCGTCCTCAAGACTTGGATGTCATCGTTTGAACACTCGATGATCATCCATGTTTGTGTTCGTTTTAAGCACCTGAAGTTCTTGGCGGAGTGCCTTGCCTTTGGACCTCCCGACTTGCCTATTCTGTGCTTGGTTATGCATCAAGAACTTGTTTCTTTGCTTCTGGGGAAGAGGGTGACCTATCGGTCAGCCCTACAGCCCATCGGCTAGGGTTTATTCCCATCGGCCATCAGTGCTGGCTAGTTGGCTCCACTGATGGCTGGTCGGCCTCATTAATGGCTGGTCGGCCACTAA